AATAATCGGTGGGTGATTGATCCCTTTTTAGCTACCCACAATAATAATCTGTCTATTCAGGAAAATGAACAGCTTATTGAAATTTCATCCGATGATCATTTAAAAGTGATAAAATCTCACTGCGAAAATGTTGCAGATTTTTGGATTAGGATTACTTGATGAAAGTCCACTGCTAAGTAAAAAAGCTTTGGAACTTCTTCTTTCTTTTCATTCCACTTATCTCTGTGAGGCATCATTCTCACATTATATGTCATTAAGAATAAACACAGAAATAGGTTGCTAAATTTGAATGCTCCTATGACACTGGCGTTAACTTCTTTCGAGCCAAATATTGAGAAATTTTCAAGTGAGAAGCAAGACCAAGGGAGTCATTAACGTCTTAATTTGGCGCTACATATGACTTTTTATTTTGTTTTTTATAGTTCTTTTGTCTTTCACTATGTATTTTCTTTTTTTTATTTTGTAAATAATAAATTCATTAGTAAAACTTCAGTGTTCTTCTCATTTTACCTATTATTGGGAAATATTAATAATAATATCGTAAGTGGTCCGCCAAGAATTCTGAAAGGTACAAGTGGTCCTCAGTGGTGAAAAGGTTGAGAACCACTGGTCTAGACCATCCTTCACCCCCGATAGCACGCTGACTCGCTACTTAAAGGTTTACACTGACGAAGGTACTATTTAAAAAGACCCTTATTAATTTTAACAACTATACTGCACTGCTTTATATTGATTGAAAATAACTGAATTTAATTACAATACTATTTCTTTTATATAAGAATTAAATGCTGACAAACCTGCTGATTGGGATTGCTGACCTCCGGGGTTACTGCACCATAATTATAGAGAGGTTTTAAATCAGCAGAATGCTAGTCATGTGGAAGCCCTGGGTCCAAGGACTCTCGCATGAAAACCTACCTTGAACTATGCAGGATAGCGTGAGGCGCTTTAGTACCGCTATCTTTATTTACTTATCATTGACCTGTATTGAGACCCCCCTCTGAATTATGCCGAGTTCGGCGCTCGAGGGTGTGGGGCCCCTCATGTCCAATTTTTGGGGTTTGCCAGTGTTTTTTGTGGCTTGCGCCTTCTAATGATATTTTATTAATTTTTTTTATCTGTTCTTGTACTCTCTTCTCTTTGAATTTGTTCCAATTTTACTTGAGGAATAGGAAACTAGTTAGAGCAAATAATATTGACTCTAGTCACAAAAGCATTATATGTGGAGTACCACAAGGTTCAGTACTGGGTCCTCTACTTTTCCTTATCTTTATAAATGACATCACTGACTTAAAAACCGACGGAAATTTTTTTCTTTTTGCTGGTGAAACCAGTATTACCTGGAGGAACTCTAATATTGCTACTCTTCATGCAATTATCATTTCTGATCTACTTAAAATAAAAACCTGGTCCGACTCTAATTTACTCTCTAGACAGTAGCATTATCCTATCAAGGAGCTCTTCAACCCTTGCTTCTTAATAAAAGCCAGATCAGTATGGTTGATTCTGTAAAACTTCTTGGGATTTTTATGGATAGCAACCTTAAACGGTCCCTTCATATCGATTTGTTAAGGGTTAACTTGATCTTATACGTCACAAGATTTTATGTCAATACACTTGACCGTTATATTTCATCAACAAATAATAATAAAATCTTATATATTCAGTCTTGGAAATAATAGTTTATAAATAATATAGTATATATAATATAGGATAAGTTAACTGATAAGAATAATCTAAATATATCCATATTTATCTCTACATACAAAATGAGTAAGTATTCAATTGTCATAATTTCATTGAATCATACATTTTTTGTAAATTTTTAAGAACGTGCAATAATGATAACGATCACTTCAATTATGTACATATATCGTAATCAGTGTTGATTAAATATTATTCCTTGATACGTAACACACTTGAATATTTAGCCTTGTTGTACGCTAAAATATTTGATAAGAATGTATTCAAAGACATTGAGTCAGATGAATAAAACTTAGCAAATGCTTTTACTTCAAATGAATGTAACAAAAACTAAATAAGCTTGAAGCAGTTGCTTTATAACCGAAACAAAAGAATTTGTTGCACCATATGCCAATATTTAACACATAGAGTGCCATGGTGGGTCAACGTTGTCCACCACTTGGGTTGAAATTTTTTTTGTCTAGGGGCCGTGGTGGGTCAATATTGTCCACCAAGCCTTTTTACGTTTCAGGCCGCGGTGCATCGCGTTAGTCCACCAGATTCATTCTGAATATATGGGGAGTGTTAAAGGATGGTTTTAGCAATATTTTACTATGATTGGTTTTTATGCCGGTGGACAAAGTTGTCCACTATAGCCACAGTAAAAATACGTTAACTTTTTTTAGTTTTATTTTTACTAAATTACATTACACAATTGTTAATTACTTAGGAATATTTAGTGAACGCACAAAACTTGAACAAATATTAAATAAAAAAATATCAACTTTCTATTGTTTTAACTGTGAAGAATGCATTTCAAAAAAGCAATTAAGACACAAGTGCTTGTTACATATATCGCAGCGGAATTCTGTTTTATTCGTTTTATTTTTTGCAAGCTTCCTTCCCATTTCCGTGACATTTTTGTGGTAGCAATTAGAACCAATCTGTCTCTTATCCGATTCATATAATTTATGATCTTGATTATTAGAAACAAACACAGAGGTAGGTAAGTCATTTCTTTTGATTAGACCTGAAAATTTAAAATATTTAAGATTTGAGAATAGAAAAACCTTTCGTATCTATCTTGTATTAGTTCTTCCGAAATGTTGTTATTGACATTTTATTGTGTGTTACATGCTGATACAGCCAGTAGGCATTGACAATTGTTGCACCAACTACTAACTCGATCGCAAGTTTACGATACCATTTGACCCGCGTCTGAGAGATGTGTTATACGATTTCATCTGATCGAAAATTATATAGTTATTGAGAGAATAAAATTACTAAAAATTTGGATTAAGTACGTGAAATGTCCAATATAACTTTTGTGCTTATGATACTCAATAATGGATTTAGGCTTCTGCATATATCCTGATTTTTTATGCACAGTAACCATTTCTGGTAAATACCTCGTTGTCAACATCACGACGTCCCGTTGTCTTTCCACTTTTCAACAAATATAACATTATTGCTTTCTTCAGAAACAACTTCGCCTTGTTTTAGTTTTTTGTTTATGACATTTTTCGGATTATTTTTCCTGTTAGTACGTAGGGTACCCAATACGTATGTTTTATGTTTTAGCAATTTAAGAGCCAATTCTACAGAGGTGTAGTAGTTATCTACACAAACTGTTCGCCCTTTCCAAGTAAATCCTTTGTCAATCTGTCACTACTTTTGTTGGGACAGTATAATTCTCAGCACTATTGTTTTCTTGTCCGCAGTATACCTTTAAGTCATACAAATAGCCACCTTCTAAACATAATTTAAATAATTTAATACCAAATTTGTGGCGCTTATTGCTAATGTATTGTTTAAATTTTAATCGCCCTTTAAATGGTACCAAAGTTTCATCAATACATAAAAATTCTGATGCTACAATAGGTGTTTGAAAATTTCTTTTGAGCTTTGACAAAAGAGAACTAATCTTATACAATCTGTCCTTGCTTTCCTTAACAGCTTCGTTGTCAGCGAAGTGCCAGTTCTTTAGAAGTAATTGAAAACGATTTTTTGACAGCTGACAAAATTCATTTTTATATATGAATTTTTTGGACCAGTACGAAGAAATTGTGGGAAGAGGAAGAAGTCCCATCCACATTATTAGCCCCAAAAACTTTTCCATTTCTTCTGGTGTTGTATCTTTCCATGATTGTATGCGTGATCTACGTTTACCTTGAATCTTTTGCTGAGCAGCATATCGATTAGTTTCGTTTGTAATAGTTCAATTATGTCATCAGTAATCACAAGTTTATAAAAGTCGTATGGAGTCATATTATATTTATCATATATAGAACTACGGATCCCTGGATTTTCCTCTGAAAATACAAAGTTTTTCAGATTATTTCCGGTAACAGGTCCCCACTCGGTTGATTGTAACATTTCTACATTATTCGTAGTATTATCGTCGTCAGATTCGAGAAAGACTGTATTTTGCTCAATAACATCCTCGATAGACTTTTTAATATCACATGTATTGGCATTTAGGTTTGAAATCTGTGGTACATTACCTGGAAAAAAATACTGTTCTGACAGATCCGCTTCTGCTACATTGGACGTCTGTTCAATTTCTCTTAAACGAAACTCTTCTGCTATCGGTTGTTGAGAACTGATTGATTTCAAACTCATATCTTGTGTTTTAAAACGTGAATCCAATAACCTTTGACGTTTCTTTGGAGATATTGGATCATCAGAACTAGCTGAATCTGAGTCACTTGGTTGATATTCAGACACGTCAGGTGAAAAATCAGTCTCTTCAGAAAGTATTTCATTCCACAGTTTTTGTAGTTCTTTCTGTTCTTTTTCATACGACATAATTTCGTTCACCACATAAATACTCAATTGCAATCATAAAAACACGACGCGATGGCCGACACTAATACATACAATAACGGAAATACCAACAGAACTGAACGAGAATGAAACGAGTTGCCGATCAGGGGATGTCAGCCGCGCATGTCCACCGCGGCCACAGCGGCGGACTGAGTCATTATGGCCGCGGTGGGTTGATGTTGTCCACCATTTTTTTGCATTTTTTTTTTTCAAAAACTAAATGGTTTAAGAAGAAACTAATAATTTTATGTCACATTTATAAACATTTTTAATGAATTCCTGCAAAAAAAAGTTTGGCCCTTGTGGACCGTCAAACAACATTCTCATGGTGGCACTCTATGTGTTAAATTACGCCGACCATTTACACCAAAATGAGTTCTGACTTTTCAATTTCTATGAAGATGAAGCTCAAATCGAAAAATTTGATTCACTAAAGATGTTAGTAAAAATTGTCGAGAGAATTGTATTATAATCGTTGTTTTTTATTTCAGAGAAATACTGGGGGGACAACTTGGATCTGCAATCTTGAAAGATGGTAATCCCTTAACTCTTCATTATGTAATGTTCATACCTACTTTGATGGGACAAGGAACTCTTGAACAGCAAGCAGAATGGATACAAAAAGCTTGGTCCTGTGATATAATTGGAACATATGCACAAGTTAGTAGATTATTATTATCTAGGATAGAAATAGTCCAGGATATGAAGTTACATATATGTAGTAGAAAACCTCTTTTTATATACATCGATTTACTGGAAATTTTGATAGGAGTTAAAAAATAGCTCCAAGTAATAGCTGAATAAACGTTAAATTTTCTTAAGTTTTGCATAAAAAATCTTTAAATGCATTTTTTTTTAATTTAAACTTCAAAAAAATCCTTTTTGTGTATCAAATCACCCTTTACAGCTTATAAAATGATATTTATTTATAAAGAAATAAATACGTGTGCCAAATCACCCAAACCCACTGTATACATAAATTTTTTTTTTAAGAAACTTAAACTAAAATGTATAACGTTATGGCACGTTGACAATAAACTAGAAACTAAACTTTTAAGGGATATATGAACTGCCTAGGACTTTCCATTCCAAAACTACAAGCAATTTTTCGTTAATAAAAACATTCAAGTTTAACAAACAAACAAAACAAGGAAGATGGTTGTATAATTTTTTTGCCGAATATAATATAGTTAGTAATTATTTACTTACTCAGTGGACGGGATCGCTAATTACACATCAAAGATTGAATGTCTGGTGGAGTAGTCATGATTAGGTCTTGCTGGAAAAACATATAGGTGTTCACTAATTAAGCAAACAGTTTTTAGAGTATATAAAATGGGAAGAGTTAAAATCCCGTGATTTTTGCAGTAGCTTCTGCAATGTGTTATTCTACTGAGCCCCAAAAGATACCGTATCGTTTTTTTTGTAATTTAAAAATAACATCAGATTGGGCAGCTGTACTAGAACCCCAAAAAGGAAGACCATATGGAAGATGAACCTAGAATAAAGAAGCATATTCGCACACCTATATTAAAAGTGTAGTAACTCAAAAAACCACTTTTTGGACAAATTGAAAAAATCTAATCTACTGGATACAATAAAAGATTTAAAAGCGTTTGTAAATAATATTGGAAGCACATTAGTTTACGAAGTATTTTGGTATCAGATGAGTAATAATCTTGCATTTTTAATAGAAAAAATTGAGATTTTTTGACTTATTACACTTTCGAAAATGAAAACCGTCATGACTTCAAATTTTTTTTGAATTAATTCACTTTTATTGCAATTAAATTAAAATGCAACGCTAAATTTGTCAATGTGAATCATAACACAAAACTGTTTTTTTGCAAACCAGTATACGAGTACCGTTCATTTAAAAAAAATATGCCTTATTCAGTGCTCTTAAATTTTGGGTGCTAGAATTCTGTACTTAGGTTTGATTTCATCTATGTGTCGTAAGATGTAATCTCTTTGACGTTGAAGATCAGCCATTACCCAATAATTATTAAAAATGTGTTGCCTATCTTCGATATTAATATTATTATTACATCTCAAACGACATAATTCACCACAACTTTCACGAACCATTCTTCCTGAAATTTCTTTTTTTGACTTAGACATAGAAACGTATGCCTTACCTGAGTTTCGTAACTGTTTTGCTACATTCGTCTTCCAATTCTCAGGTTTTCGGACTCTTTTTTTCCTTTATTTTCTCCATTATCTCCAATATTCAGAACTGTAGAATCAGATGCACTATCGGAGCTATCAGAACTAGTCGAAGAACTGCTGCTGCTGCTGGATGAAGAATTATTAGTTGTAGGAATTATATCTGTTTGAGAATACTTTGTCTGGAGAGACAACAAAATTTGGATCAGCATCGGAATCATCTATATCGCTTTCGATACTTCGAATGGGAGGTATGTAATAATTTTTTCTCTGATCCATATTAACAATATTAGAAGTACTTGGTAGACATAAATGATTATAGGTGTTTTCGTTGGAAATGGTTGGAGTTTCATTTAAATATATGCTATTCTCGGGTAGTAAATTTTCATTTCCAGGCATAAAAGAAAACTTATCATGTTGACGACTATATTAATCAGATTCCTTTGAATTGAATTCTAAAGAATTTGTGGTGTCATGCAAAGGAATACTTTGAACTTATGAAATGTTGGAAGAATCTTTATTAATGTTCTTATTTTCATGCTTTTGTAAAGCCATGTCAACAATAAACGGCCACGGCTCAGCATTATACTGAAGCAATAACGATAAATAAAGTAAACCGTCAAAAGTGAAGCAACTCAAAATATCTTTTTATTAATTTGAAATGAAAATTTAATATTCCAAAATCTATAAAATAAAAATAAATCTCTTATAGTTAACATAAAGTATTCAAAATTATCCAAATATCAAGAACTAACTAAATTATCTTTACAAATGAATTCACCGTTTAAAACCGATTTAACCCTAAATTTAAAAAATAGTTCATTAAAACTGTAGCAAAACAAAATAAACTTTAAACAAATTAAATATTTAAGCAACAAAACTGCTACAATTCAAAATGCTGCTGTAAAAATATCTGAGTAAATCAGCTAAATTGTATTAAATCTAAATAATTATTGTAGTTTTATCAAGTTTACTCACCAAAACCGTTGCAACTCAAAATGCCACACTGTGAAACCGTACACTCTGCACGAAAGTCGGAGCGTAACTAAAAATGGTACGGTTTTATACTGAGGGCGAACGAGTGATCATTCAGCAAAACCGACTTACAACGTCACCTGTGACACACTAGGGAGAATACAATAACTGCAGTTTTATTGGCGAATAGGTAATTATTCGAGGAATTTAAATATGACCTTAACTCAAATACTCACATTTTTGAGTTGCTACACTTTTCATGCTGGTGTGATGTTATTTTGGAAGATGCTAAATTGATTTCCTTCAAAGTTTCTTATTTAACAAATTGAAAGGAAGGGACCAAGGTTGCTGTCTATAAAAATACCAAGAAATTTTACATAATCAACAATACTGATCAAGAGTTGCAATAGTAGAGTTCCTCCAGATAATACTGGTATTATCAGCAAAAAAAATTTCCATCGATGTTTAAGTTAGTGATGTCATTTATAAAAATAAGGATAAGTAGAAGACCCAGTACTAAACCTTGTGGTACTCCTCATACAATGCTTTTGGTGACTAGAGTCAGTATTATTTACTCTAACTAGTTGTTTCCTATTCCTCGAGTAAGCTGGAACCAATTCAACGAAATATCTCGAATTCCGTAGAAATTTAGTTTTTTTATCAAAATGTCGTGATTTACACAATCAAAAGCTTTGGCCTAGTCACAAAAAATAGTGGCAGTGTAAAGATTATTGTTTAGTGCTTGATCTACCTCATGTAGTACAGAAAACATAGCATCGCTGTTACATTTATTAGATAAAAACCGAACTGACTTTGTGATAAAATTTGGTTTTCAACGAGAAAGGATATAAGTCGGGCTTTTTATAAGTCCCTCAATAATTTTAGATAGAACCGGTAGTAAAGCAATAGGTCTATAGTTGCAGTCATTAGATTTTTTACCACCCATATGAAGAGGAATAATAATGGCTGTCTTTAGGCACTGTGGAAATATATCTTTTTTAAAACAATCGTTAATTAGTGAGACTAGGACTTCCAACACATTTGTTGGGATATTTAAGAAATTTTTTGTGGATAGTCCATCAGTACTACAGGAAGATTTGCTTTTGATACTACTGATTGTTTGGATGAATTCAGATTTATTAACTGGTCTTATAAATAAGGAATTCGTGACCCTTTTTGAATTGGGGAGATAGGAAATAATATCTTGTTGTGGTAAAATAGTTGATGTTATATTTTTACTCACATTAACGAAGTATTCCTTAAGATGTTCAAGGTTTGGAAGAGAAAATGTTTGAGCTGTGTTAGTTTAATTTCGAAGATCGTTTATTATGGACCAAGTTTTTTTACAACATTTTAAGAGCTTCCCAGACGATTTTGATAGTACATTTTTTGGCTGTTTTGATAAGTTTTAGATATGTTCCTCTATACTTGGAGATATATTCAGTGACAAAGACGTTGGTAGTAATTTTTTTGATGTACAGTAGTGAACGCATATTCTTAACTGATGTTTTTGTTTTATTTTTATTTTTAGACTGAACTTGGACACGGCACATTCATTAGAGGACTGGAAACTATTGCCACTTACGACTCAAAAACTGAAGAATTTGTCTTAAATTCGCCAACAATTACATCTTATAAATGGTGGCCTGGAGGATGTGAGTATTTTGTATTAATGATATAATCTAATTTTGGATTTATAATATAAGAAATAAATTATTTATTTCTTCATTTTTATACTAGGGTTTGAACCATGGATAATCTTCCTTCTTTCTCCGTCCCCGGTCTGCATCCGTAGGCTTGATGATATAATTATGTTCGTCATTACAATTCTGAGCGACTAAACTGATTTTTTTATTACTGCATTGGACACTATCTTCTACAATAATATTATGGAAAATATCGAACTTAGTATTGAAGTTCGGTTCGGTTCGTAATGCCCCTTTGTCCGATTCTCGTCGATCGATGCTGATAGGTATAATAAAAGGTTGAAGTTGAGGAGTAAAAGTGATGATTTATTGACAGCAACTCGTAATTACACAATATGGTGTTCGTTCGGTAACTACTCAATATTGACTGTGTTCATTTGAACTCAAATCCCCAACTTATAATCTCACACATAATAGATACATAAGCACCTTAGGTCATTGCTTCGTTCATATCACACCACCTAACTTTTGCTTATAATACAATTTAATCTACGCCTTAATTGCGACACTTAGGAAGTTCAATTGGAAAATATTATTATTCGGCAATTTATTTAGTTGTAGGTAAATGAACTAATTATTAAATTATCATACGATATGTTTTGCAATATATATAATGCAAACTTATACACGGTGAAACTATAAAAGATTAAGAAGTTAAGAATAATGTGAGATTACAAATTAAGGGGTTAATTTGTGATTGAACATATTGGCCACTATATAAAAAACAAACAGACAACCAATAGAAAATATTTAAACACATATAAGTAAAATATAAAATAATAATAACAATAATCATAACACTAATTCACTCGGTTTTTGAATTATTATCTCACCCGAGCAGTGCTACCTATAATTTGATTATTTAGAATTCATGTTTCAGCTAAACTATCTAATTCAAATCTAAGCTCATTAAGCCAACACCACCTCTTCTTTTTCTAGGTTTGTGTCTCTTTGACATTTCTTCTCTAATTGCAGAAGTCTCACATATGCTAGCTGTAGTGAGTCCCCCTAATAGGCTTGTACTAGAATTGAAGGGTATTTTAACTTCAAATCTTCCTTCATTATCCCTTTTTACTGTTCTTTTATAATATCCTGTACACTTTTTTTTCTTCTACTGAAAGAGTATGGCTTAGATCTATTTCTTCTAACTTCCAGTATTGTTTTCTATCTTCATCCACCTGTCGTCTAGATAGCATGCTGAGTACTTGTATATTAGGGATATTCTCTTGATGTGCTATCCCTGACATTATCCAACCCAATTTTGTATTTTGGGCCAGCAAACCATTCTTTGTTCGATCTACTCCGTCCAGTAATATCAAACTATATTCTTTGGCTCCTAATAGAATATCTATTGGACCTGTTTTATTAAAATTTGGATCCGCCAGGACTAAGTTCCTATGGTTCCTTTCTTTTATTTGTATCTCTTTCTCCGGTAGGTTTTTTGTTATTTTTCTTAGCACAATTGCTTCGGTCTTCATTTCAAATTCATTTTTGAAATGCGCCTCTAAGTTTAATGTTACGCTCCATTTCGACGTCCTTTGGTCTTCATTGCCAATTCCAGATATCTGAGCGTGGACAGCTTTTCTTTTTATTCCGAGACTTGTAGCGGCCTGCTCCGTAATGAATGATGACTGCGAGCCTTGGTCAATCAATGCTCTCATCAATTGTGAGCTTCCTTTTGAGTCTCTTACTCGTATTAATGCCGTTGCAAGTAGCACTTCTTCTTTATGATGACTTAAACAGCTCACGACATTCTCTTGTCTCCTTAACGATCCGTCGTAACTGTTGTCACCTCTGTTCCCACTAGAATTGGGTCTATTTTGTGGCCTTCTGTTTTCAGAATTCCTTCTGTTGTCATACTGGCACCCACTAGAATTTGGTCTATTCTGTGGCCTTCTGTTTTCAGAATTCCTTCTGTTATCATGCTGACCTTTTGACATGTGTAGTAATGAATGGTGCTGTCCACCACATTCTGCACATCTATGAGAGGAATAACATGGTACTTCCCTTTTGTGTAGTAAGCATCTACCGCACCATTGCTTTTCCTTTACGATTTTGTTTCTTTCACGTACTTGTTGATCTAGAAACGTTGTACATTTCAACAGTTTATGTTCTTCATGACGCACCACACAGGTTATCTTCTTCTTTACCTGTTGTCTATGATCTGTTCCTTTCCTTTCTGTTTCCAACATGTCAACTCCAATGTCTGGAATCTTCTTTGTAGGAATTCCTGTGTTGACTTATATGTCGGAATGTCCCTACTGTCTTGAATTGACGTTTCATATAATCTCCTGGTTTCTGTGTCCCACTTTAACATACTTATCCTTGCTATAAGAGAGCTCCAGGACTCTGTCATTACACCTAGTCCACTAATGGCTTCTAAGCATTCGTGGAGAGTATCGTGTAATGATTTCAGCGCCTTTGCTGACGTTTCTTTTATCTCTGTAGCCTGAAGTATCTTGTCTATTAATATAAATAGATTCATCCTTGGATTATCGTATCGATCTTGCAACATTTTCCAGGGAGCACTGTAGTTTGCTTCTGTTGTGTTTAAATGTTGTATTATTCTACTTGCTTCTCCTCGGAGGCTTGTCTTCAGATACTGCATTTTTTCCACATTTGATAGTTGATTATTCTCATGTATCAAACGTTTAAAAATATCATAGAATGTTACTCAGGATTCATACCTTCCTTCAAAACAGGGTAACTTCACTTGGGGTAATATTATTTTGTCTTTCTTGCATCCTTCCGCCTCTAATCTCTTATTTTCTTTTATGATCGACCGCACCCTTCTTTTCATTGTATAAAATCTTTCTATTTCACCTTCTTCTAGTGCATCCTGTTCATTCTCCACAGTTATTTCCATTATTAATGTATCTATTTTTTGTACCTCTTCTTTTAAATCCTCTTGTAAATCTTCATCGGTTTCGTCGTCTTCCAATAAATGATGAAGTTTCCCCATCCTAATTTCTATTTCTCTAATTTTTGTCTTGTACGAACTTTTAATAAATTCCTCTAAAATCTTTTTCGTTTCTTCATATCTTTTTTGTACTTGTTCGTAAAAGTTAGATGTAAAATATTTATCAACTCTCGAACCTTTCTCTTCAATTTCTGTGTTTTGATCTTCAAAGTCGTTCCACAATTCATCAAGTGTCTGTCTTTTAATGTTTAAATATTCTCTCGTTCGTTTATCTTTCCGTAGTTTTCGCAAATTATTTAAAAGCTTCGTAATTTCTTGACCTAGCTTTTCCTGATCTAAATATAATCGTTCCATTTTAAACGAATATACGTTTGACCTAATTTCAACTTTTAAACTAGTGTCAGCAAGATTACCTTAGACAATAACGCAAAATGACCTCTTGTCTAACCTTTGTGACACGGCTATATAGTACAATTAAAGAATGTAATATTATCACTTGTAACCAGAGAGAAAAGAAATTCTTTATATAAAAATGCAACTACTACAAATACTATTTTGGAAGAATGAACTCTTAATGTGTATAAAAATAACGAATTGTCACGATAATTCACTATATTATGAAATTCAATGTTTTAAGAATTTTAAATTATAAGAATCAAATTATCGAATATAATTAAAATTAAGATAATTAAGCTATTAGATTTGAATTAGCTGTAGACAAACTATTACTATTTTAAGTAAAAAAGTATGCAGAATAAAATATTTTCAAATAAGTATTATTCAATTTGAATCTTAAGTTTCTTTAATAATCTTTTTAATGTATTAAATTAATGCACTGCTCTAAATGATAATAAATATTCAAAAACTTACAGTTTTATCCCGACGTTCACTTGTATGTTCCTTCTTCCTTCATTAGAACTGCAAACTGGAACTGGTGAGCTGGATCTCTGGATGCTACTAGATTTTTCTGCTGGAAACTGGACCTCCAAACTGCTGAAATAGTAGACTTAAGGACTGCTATTAAGGTTCTCTGGTGATCAAAGGCTTCTCGTAAGGCTCCTACCCCTTATTTCGGTGCTTTCTAGTCTTTTTTATTTCTTTTTTCTTTTCTCTACACTTCGAATTCGATCGTCGATCTTGTACGGAACTGGGAAACCGCTATTTAGTTCGCTATGGGTCGTCTCCTTCGAAGCTCCAAACCAATTAACGCCCTTTTGATGATGTTTTGACGAAGGACCAATGTAAAAATATCGGACTTAGTATTGAAGTTCGGTTCGGTTCGTAATGCCCTTTGTCCGATTTTCGTTCGATCGATGCTGATAGGTATAATAAAAGGTTGAAGTTGCGGAGTAAAAGTGATGATTTATTGACAGCAACTCGTAATTACACAATATGGTGTTCGTTCGGTAACTACTCAATATTGACTGTGTTCATTTGAACTCAAATCCCCAATTTATAATCTCACACATAATAGATACATAGCACCTTAGGTCATTGCTTCGTTCATATCACACCACCTAACTTTTGCTTATAATACAATTTAATCTACGCCTTAATTGCGACACTTAGGAAGTTCAATTGGAAAATATTATTATTCGGCAATTTATTTAGTTGTAGGTAAATGAACTAATTATTAAATTATCATACGATATGGTTTTGCAATATATATATAATGCAAACTTATACACGGTGAAACTATAAAAGATTAAGAAGTTAAGAATAATGTGAGATTACAAATTAAGGGTTAATTTGTGATTGAACAATTATCCATTAATAATACCAGCAAGAAATGGGCAACTTGCTATGTTTTACATTATTTCGAATACCAGGGAGTACACTAATTAAATTTTTTTGTCGTGTTCTAACTGATTTATTAGCACAGTTCTTTGTCAATTTTGTTTTCCAATCTAGTCCGATAAAAATCTTAAGATTGCCTTACTCTATCATCATCAAGCGTATTGTTGTCTTGAGAAGACAACATAACACGGAGAACAATTAAAATGACAGCTAAGTCACATCCTAAGAGATCTACAATTTATTAGATTATTATTAGAAAAAATGTCTATTTTTACTTTAAAAGTTCAAACAAAAAAGTTACCTGGGTTTCACTGTTACTTTTACTTTAAATTTCTGAGGTGGGGAACTGGAATTATACTCTCTGCCACACGAACAGATTCATCTCTTCTGCGAATTATTCTGAAACGGCTTCTTAGGACAGACAAGTTGAGGTTGAAATTGGGTCACTGGACGCAAACCTTGGGAACTCGTCTCCTTAAAACTCAACAATGGAACATGTGGGTATCTTCCAAATTTGTTGTAAATGCCGTTTTACAAATATCTCAGATGAGAGACGGCTTACAAATAAAAAACAGTGATTACTCGTTCAAAATTGACACATTACATTGAGTAAAAATCACTTTTTTTCAACAAATTTCCGGTTTTTTACGACTAAACTAAACACGTCTGCTTTCAATGGCCAACCTTTACCTGAAACTTGAATTTACTTCGACCTCGATCCGTGTACCCGCTTCTACCGTCTCCTTACCCCGAGTATCAATCCAAGGAATGCCACCGCAAAATTCTTGTCAAACACGCTTCACATCGTATCGTAAAATAACCTTCAATCATTCCCAGCTTTTAAAATTTCAAAACTAACACGTACAAATAAATCTAACCATATTTAACGTCGCAGTTATAACTGGAATTTGGAATTTTTTCTTTAGATCACAATATAAACTGAGAATCGGCGAGATATTTATATTTGACCCAGGGGCGTACTACAAAATGTTATTATTACTTGAATATTAGATAGTTTTTAAGGAATTTATTATACTACAATGTTTACATATACTATATAATTTCAGTGGGACATTCAGCGAATTATGCAGTTGTGGTAGCTCAGTTACACACGCAGGGCAAGAACCATGGTATTCACCCGTTCATAGTACAACTGAGAGATGAGGAAACTCACGTACCTCTACCAGGTATTAAAATAGGAGAAATAGGATGTAAATTAGGAATGAACAGTACAAACAATGGATATTTAGGGTTTGAAAATGTTAGAATACCCAGGACTCACATGTTAATGAAAAATAGCAGAGTTTTACCTGTGAGTATTTTCTTTTTATTGTGTGTAGCTTATATTTATATATACGTATTTCAATTTAACTATATTTAATTTTTTTATCTACGAGATGTATTAAAAAATGCTTACTCACTATAGAAGAAAGAGTTAGTTAGAAGTTAGAAGAAAAAAGAAGTTAGAAGCAAACAAAATTTGAAAATTTAAGTATTTTTTCTTATAAAATATAGCCTCAAGTAGTGCCTAAAATATAGCACAACTCAACTGTCTGATAAAATCATAAACTGCATCGATATTTACGGAGATGAACACAGACACTGGACACTGTCCTTTGCCATCAGTCTTCTTCTTTCTGTCTTCAATAGAAAATTTACCTCTCTTGAAGCCGGTAATTTAATTTTTCAGGGCTGAATCCAAAGAATATCGTTCGTTCATCTGTTAGTAGACGCAGTTTAATTTTGCTCCACTTTGCTCTACTTTGTTACCATTGCACAGAGTGATGTGTACATTGACCAGTGGCGGCTCGTGGCTTGAGAGACAAGGTCGGCAAGGTGTTTTTTGTCTCCTCAGATAGGTATACCGTCTAATAAAGACTTCAATCATCATAGGAGATCTTTTGTTTTCTTGTTTTTTGTTTTTTTTTTCTATAAATTTAGAACCTAAACATGTTTATAAATTAACTCTAGTCTACGTTGTTTGGAAGTAGCAAAATGGGTAATAACGTCATCGTAAAATTTATTAGAGTTTTGGAGAGATTTTAAAAGTTTTTTTTTCTATTGACATTTGAGACAAGCTTGACATTCTCTCTTGTTTCATGGTATTTCGACAATAATTTTTGATTCTTTTGAGGCAAGAGAAATCTCGTTCATTTGAGGCAGACGTTGGTGGTAATGAGAGAATTAATGACAATAATTTATTAATTTCGGTAACAGTTTGTTGTAATGAATTGCAGTATATAAAATTATACGTATCTTGTAACTTATCCCATCTTCCGAAAATATTTGGATCAGCATATAAAACTTTTAATTCATTTTCTAATTTTATTTTATTAAAGAATGAATGGATAATTTTTAATTAACCTGTCTAATAAATATCTTGGAAATTCTTTGGCGTAACTTTTAAATTTTGAATCGTCAAAGAGGTCAAAAATTTGCAAATCTTCAAAATTCGAAAAACGAGTATCTATTTGCATAATAATAGTATCCAAAATTTCAAAATATACTCGTTTTTCGAGATCTGTTTCTGTGTCATGCCTTTGTCTTTTTTTGGGGGTTCGGAAATATCAAGCGAGTCCAAAACGTCACTGCGTATATACTGGAAATTACTATCATTACGAAAATCTCTGAGATTTTGCACCAGTCATGTTATTCTATTTTTGGAATGAATAATGTCAGTTAACTGATTTTGAACAACATTGAATATCAAATCGGTTTGGGTAAACACTTTCTTAAAAATATTTAAAAGTATGTTAAAAGAGTAATCATTTAATAAAGTTTTCAAACCGATTGCTTTACGGATCGAGATATCATCACTTTCAAAATCGTCACATTCAATAATATAATCAAAAACTTCCAAAGCTGTTCACGAAAATCTGCTACATTGAAATCTAACCGAGATTTAAAATTCCATCGCGTCTGACAAACTGTTGGCATTTTTTTCCAAACAAACCGTTCTAAAACATTAGTCCGTTTAGGCGAGCTTGAGAAAAATGAAGCAAATCCGCTTAAACTGGCAAAAAAAGACGACATTCTTTAATTTTTTTACATGTATCTTGCAAAACTAAATTCCATTCTGTGCGCATGACAAATTATTTGAAAGTACCTACTGACTTATTTTTTAATTTATTTTATAATACAGGGTGTGGTCAATACTATATTTACTTATGTTTATGCATTTTTGTTCATATCTCGAGTTCGATAAAAGCTATTAACATGCGGTTTGCGCCATTTTGTTACGAATTTAATCCAGTTCCATTATAATTTACAATAAATAGGTGTTTTCCATTAAAAATTTTGAAAAAAAAACAAATTTTAATTTTTTCTATTCGAAAGTACCTTCTACCTACGACAATTAAAACTAAATGCAATTATTTTTATAGTAGATGTAAATTAATTCATCCATACTCTTTCTAATGACACTAATTTTGTTCAAATCGGTTGATCCAAACCAAAGTTATAGGTATTTATCCACAAATACTTTCCCACTCTCCCCCACCCTTTATTTTACTTATTTAACGCTTGTATAATTGGACATATTCCCAAAAAATTGGTTTTCAAAATTTTCTTCGCAGGTTACGCCCCCTAGCGGTTAATCCAGAATCTTGAAAGTTATTTCCAGCGATTTCTCGTGGCCACTTTTACTAAGGAATTTTTTTCCTAAAGTTATAACATGAATAATTTCTGATATATAGCCGAGAGATCGGCTTATTGGACCACCCGGTATATTTGGTTGCTAATCAACCAATATTCTGTTGATTTTTACAAGTAAAGTTAAGGTTGGGATCGGCTAGCCGAAAAAAAACAAAACCTCCTTTTTAAGAATTCATAGGCGGATGAATGTCTCCGATATCGAATAATCTATTTGAAAAGTGTCCTACGCAGGGATCACTTAACGCTCAGATTGGACGAATTCTTTTAAAAACCATGAATAAAATTTAGTCTTTATTATCTCACAGATATTTTTTTAGTTCACAAAAACAAATGACATCAACTGATTACCTGCCACGATTATTTATTGAAATACTGATTAAATTAAATATTAAAAAGTCTATAATATCTATAAAGATGTTGGTCGGCACTGTCGACCCTGACCGGCCGCCACTGACATTGACACCAACACCATAGATATTTTTGATCGTTTTAATTATTCCTAGAGGTATCTTCTCTGACGCACAATAAGTGGATAACGTCCTTTAATTTGACCCGGTCAAATGCCTTCCTCTTGCACTTGCCTCATTATAATTATACCGTCGGGGAATGATCTTCCCCACCTAAAACCTCGTTGTTCTTCTGCTAGTGCTATCATTTCATTCAGTTTATTTGTTATCACTTTGGTTGTTAATTTTAGTGTTGTGTTAGTTGTTAATTTTAGTGTTGCGTTTAATAAATTAATTCCTCTGTAATTTTCCGGGTCCGATTGTCTCCCTTTTTGAAGAGAGGTATTGGGATGCTTGATCTTCATTCTTGTGCAATCCTGGTGTGGTTAGATCTGGTCCTCCGTACTTTAGGAGTTCGTTCGTATTCTGTCCTTTCTGGTGATTTTCTATTTTTTAATTTCCTTATTGCTTCCTTTACCTCTTCCTCTTCAATATTTATTTCTTCGTTTGCCGTCACGTCTGTTGTTGGTGGTTAATTATCGTCACATTTAGAAAATAGTGATCGAAAGTAGTCTGTCTATTTTTCCTTAAAAATGTGTTTCGTTTTTATTAGTTCGTTCATCTCTTTTCTTTGTCCTCTGATCATTCTCCATATTTATTTTTGTTCTGCAGAAGTCGTGTTCCATCTGTTTTGAGAAGCTCTTCCAGTGTTCCCTTTTTATGTCTAACTAAAGTATTCGTTTCATTTCTGATTCGTTTATGGTGGTTGTATGCTTGCTGTGTTGGTTGTGTTCTGTATTGTAAAAAGGCTTTCTTCTTTTCTTCACATTTTGTCTTCACTTCATCTCCAAGAGGTTCTGTTGGTGCGTTAATTATGTTATTTTTGAGTTTTTCCTAGTTTTCCTCGATGTTATCGTTTTCTAATATTTCATTCCCAGTCATCTTCTTGGATATTCTAATCTGACATTCTATAATTGTGTATCCGTTCTTTGAAATGAGAGGAGGTGGACAGAGTCTCAGGTTTTTCTTTGGAGTCAAATGGGAAATAGTGGTACTGAGTCCACACATAGATAAGATTGATAGTCGTCTAGGAGACGGAGATATCTGTTATAGGGATGGATCTAGGTCAAAGAAAACACCATCGGCAGGTTATTACTGCTTGAAGGTTGGAAAAGAAACCTAGGGCCGCGATTGTCTTTCAAAACAAAGATCACAGCCACATTGAGGTGTACTCACAGATTGTTTGTTTGGCATTTTCCACGAAACTAGAACACTGGTTTAAAAAGTGTCGAGGTGGATTCTCCATCAAGATTTCATAAATTCATTAAAATACTGACTTATTAATGTTCCCTATATTGAATTAACTTTATCGATATGGTACTATCCACCAATATATTGACTGACGTGTTCAAAGGAAAAAAACCACAATATAAAAAAGAACTATTCTATAGACTTTTATTATGCTATATTAGTAATATTTTTGTTATAAGTGTTTTGTTTTTATTTTAGGATGGCACCTATGTACAGTCTCCTAGTAATAAGCTAACTTATGGGACAATGATTTTTGTTAGGGTGGTCTTAGTACAAGACGCATCTACATATTTGAAAAAAGCTTGCACTATTGCTACTAGGTATAGTGCAGTCAGGCATCAATCACAAATAAAACCTGAGTAAGTATTAAAACAAGTATTTATCGTTAAACTATATATCTGCAATTTTTTGAGACCCAGTACTAACTTTGCTTGGATTTTTCTAGGGACTGTCCTTTTTGTCGTTTTTTTTATAAAAAGAGTACTTTTATCTAGCTTTTATTTTTTTTTTGCGTTTCGGTGTTGTCTCAGCTACGTTTTGACGATTAATGTTTGTGCTGTTTCTTTTTGTTTTCCGTATTTTAACTACTTTACCAATAAAAGCTTGTGCACACTTCACACATTTTATTATGTTTCTTCCAGCATAGTTTCCTTTCTCTTAATGTTTCATGTTATTTGCATTACTAGTTTTTCAATCCCATAAACAAAATATTCCTCTTAATTGTCACACTGGAATCGTTCGAGGTCTCGATTGATATTGGACGACTCAGAATGGCCCAAAACATCTGGGGACCATTTTAGCGAAGTAGAAGTGACTAAAGAGATTTTTTACACATGTGCAAAAGCGTTATTCATTCGACTCGCTTGAACAAAGACATAAGTCACACTATATACACTCTGAAAACTAAGAATTGGTCAACTTAAAATACATAAAACGTGCATGTGGTTCTTACTCATTATTAATTCCGTCAGGTGATCATATAAAGAACAACTAAAACCCATTAACCTGTTTTACTTGATACAATTGGCCAAGCCAACTAGACAAGACATCGCTAGAATTCTTAGAAACGCAAAGCCTCCTAGTCCGTACATTAGCCAAGTCGAGAAAAAAGCCTTGAAAGAACTTCAGTCAAATCCAAATCTAGCCGACAAAGGATATTCCACCGTCATCCTAAACACTTCTTGCATTAATAAACTCTCAAATCTCATTAATACTTCAGATTACAGACCAATTTCCAATAATCCAACAACCTATCTGGAGAAAACAACAAAAGCCACTATCAACAAAACCTCTCTTCTTTCCAAATTCCTCGTGAAAATTCTTTCGGAACACCTCGAATATACGGCCTACCCAAAATTCACAAACCTGATATTCCTCTACGTCCCATTGACACTGCATAAAACTGCCTTACTCAATAATTGGCCAAGTAATAGGCCTAAACTCTATAACCTCTCGTCAAAAATGCTTCATCCTACGTCAAAGTCTTTTTTTGATTTGATTGTAAATGGTAAAATAAGTTTAGAAAGAACACTGATGAAGTCACAACCAAACTCACTTGCAGTCCTCTATTTGAATTTAACTGAACGCTGTAGTAGTTATGATTATACTAAAAATATTATTGTTTCGCAAAATCTGATTTCACTACTTTAAAAATAAAATACTATACCTACCTACCCAAGTGTACACCAATGGGCGATCGAAACGTGATTTTTTCTGATAAACTACTTTATGGTTTCGGTCGCTCAGGCAAATATTGTTATATCTTACCCTAAGCATGCATAAGTATGCCTATACTACAAAACGCATTATGATTATCTTAGTAGCTATATTGTCAATTACAGCAATTGTCGTTTCAAGAAGAATGACACAGTCTGTTACTAATTTTTCGCCAGTGTCAAACAGGATCCTGCTCCTACAACTGCATACAAAAACTGCAAAACTTAATATTATACAGGTATATGCCCCTACTGCAGATAAATCAGATGAAGAGATTGAGCAGTTTTATGAACAAATAAATCAAGTTCTAAAGTCTACAAAGCCAAAAGATGTTACACTTATCCTTGGAGACTTCAACTCCAAAATTGGCAAAGGAAAAAGCGGAAAAAATGTGGGAGAATATGGTTTAGGGGCAAGAAACGACAGAGGAGACAAACTTTTAGAGTTTTGTCAAGAGAATGATATGATAATTTCAAATACATTCTTTAAGCTACCCAAACGGAGACTGTACACATGGACGTCCCCCCAACACACTAGGGAAAAAACAATTAGGAATCAGATAGATTATATTTTAATAAATGAGCGATACAGAAACTGTATAAGATCAGTTAAGGCTTATCCAGGCGCAGATGTTTCTTCAGATCATAACCCCCTGATAGCGCGGGTACACATTAGACTCAAAAGACCTTCAAATAAAACAAAAATAGATCACATAGATACCAGCCGCTTACAAGATCCAACAATTAAAGAAGATTTAAAACAACATATCAATGATAACTTACGAATGCTTTCTACAAAGACAGAGAACACGCATGTAGAAGACAAGTGGCAAGATTTAAAAGACGCCATAATAAAACCTGCACAGAAAATGCTTACCAAAGAGAAACAGAAAAAAGGACGAGAATGGATAACAGAAAAAATTTTAGGTCTCATGGAAGAGCGAAGACAGTTAAAGGGAAAATGCAGCCAAAAATATAATGAAGTAAACAAACAAATCAGAAAAGAAATAAGAACTGCAAAGGAAAATTTTTATACAAGAAAATGCGAGGAAATCGAAGAACTACATCTCAAACATGACACTTTTAACTTACATAAAAAGATAAAGGAACTGACAGGTACACAAAAACGAAAACATCCCAATCTCCTATGCAACGCAAATGATGAAATAATAGCCGATCTACAAGAAAAGCTTAGGACCTGGAAGAACTATGTAGAAGAATTGTTCGACGATGAAAGACAAGAACCTAATATAGATAACTTGCAAGGCGACGAAGGACCAGAAATAACTAAAGAAGAACTATTATACGCTATAAAAATAATGAAAAATGGTAAATCACCGGGTCCAGACGGGCTCACATCAGAACTTCTTAAGCTTGTGGAAGGCGAATCAGTGAATATTCTACTCGACCTTTTTAACTGCATCTACAAAAGAGGAGAAATACCAAAGGAATGGCTACTTTCAACTTTTGTAACCTTACCAAAAAAGGCAAATGCAAAACAGTGCACTGACTACCGCACTATAAGCTTAATGGGGCATACATTAAAAGTATTCATCAAAGTAATCCACTCAAGAATTAACAGAAAACTAGATGCAGATATTAGTAATACTCAATTCGGATTTCGGAACGGGCTTGGAACAAGAGAAGCACTATTTGCACTTAACGTCATATGCCAAAGATGTCTAGATATAAACCAAGATATATATATATATATATATATATATATATATATATATATATAATATATATATATATATATATATATATAGTGTGCTTTATTGATTACAACAAAGCGTTTGATAAAGTTCGTCACGATCACTTAATGAAACTGCTAGTAGAAAAAAACTTGGATAAAAGGGACATTAGAATTATCTCTAAGATTTACTATAACCAGAAAGCAAATATCCGAATAGAGCAAGAGACAACGGAGGAAATCGAGATCAAGAAAGGCGTAAGACAGGGTTGTATACTCTCACCGACCTTATTCAATCTATACTCCGAAGACATTATAAACACAGCACTTTCGGATCAAAATATAGGTATTAAGATAAATGGCATCCGAATAAACAACTTGAGATATGCCGATGACACGGTACTAATCGCAGAAACTTGGGAAGATCTTCAAATACTAATTAACAAAATAGTAGAATGCAGTGAAGAACACGGATTATCACTTAACATAAGCAAAACAAAAATAATGCTAATATCTAAATCACCACAAAACTTCCCTGACATAACCGTGCATGATCAAAGAATCGAACGTGTAAGAAGATATAATTACCTGGGAACTGTTATCAACGAAAATAATGATTGCTCTGAAGAAATCAGAACCAGAATAGAGAAAGCTAGAGCCACATTTACTAAATTGAAAAAGGTGTTCTGCGGAAGAGATCTAAGTCTAAAACTTAAAATTCGCCTTTTGAGATGTTACGTTATGTCAGTTCTCCTCTACGGGATGGAAACATGGACATTGAAAAAGATCGATACCAGAAAGATAGAAGCATTTGAGTTGTGGATGTATCGTAGAATATTAAGAATACCCTGGACAGAGAAAGTAACAAATGTGGAGGTTTTGCGGAGAGTGCGGAAAGAGAAAGAGCTGATACTTACTGTTAAAAAGCGCAAACTACAATATTTGGGACATGTTATGAGGGGAGATAAATACCAGTTGCTGCAATTGATTATACAGGGAAAGATAATGGGAAAGAGATCTATAGGAAGAAGAAGGCATTCATGGTTGAAAAACTTGAGAGAATGGTACAATTGCACCAATTACCAACTGTTTAGATCTGCAGCATCAAAAATACGCATAGCTTTGATGATAGCCAAACTTCGGAACGAAGACGGCACTTGAAGAAGAAGTAGCTATATCCGATGTTTTTATTGTCTCTTGGTCCACGTGGGCTATTCAACAGTTCGATGAAAACTTCAACTGGGTGACTGCCCATATTTTTAAATATAATACAGGCACATCTGATTGTAAATATCGATGAGAATATTAAAACTTTTTATTATTATACATCTCAGTCATTGATAAGTTTGCAGTTAATAACTACTCCTGGCAGAGTACTTTTATTTTAATTTTTATTGCCTGCTTTTATTACAGATAAATATATTTTTACACAGTCTCACCGAAATACGAGGCGACTATATGTCCAACACTTCCAAAATCAATTCTACAGACAAATAAATGGTGTCCCAATGGGCGCCACTATAAGATTGCAGACGGGCCTATATATTATGTATTTGTTGTCTATATTTTGACGTTTGTTGTGGAAAGTTCGTTATCGACTAATGCTGCAAACTTTACCTCGAAACAGCCCAAAATGTGGGTTTTGCGACGGAGCGCAACTTCGCAGATACAATTAGCTCACTTACGAGGACCAGGTTCCTCTCTGTACTACTATGTTAAAATTAAATTTGTTAAGAAATGCACTAACATTTGTTTTTATTTTCAGTGAACCTGAACCGCAAATTTTAGATTACCTTACTCAGCAGAATAAACTCTTTCCTCAATTAGCTGCCTGTTTTTCCTTCCAGTACGCTGCTGCCTGGTTATGGGATACCTACAACAACGTTACCGGTGAACTCGAAACTGGTCAACTTGAAAATTTACCAGAAGTAAGTGTATATCTTTATACAGATTATTATTCACCTAAGTTCTTGATCATACACAGCTGTGGCAATATTTTTAGCAGTACATATGATTGACTTTTATTTTGTTTTATTTTGTGGTATTATTGGTGAGCCTGATGTTACCAAACTTGTTCTATCTATTTATCTATATACAGATTGAACGAATTTAAAACTTATCATACAATTTAATATATGTCTGTTTGAACTGCATTTGAAATAGTGGACCAATATAAAACTTGGACAAATATAAATCCATACCTGGGTATAGACATTGTATAAAATATCGTTCAACTATCTGTCTCGCAACAAGTTGTTTGCGTAAAGGAAGCGATAATAGTTCAGGAAATTAGTTAGCTCGAAAAAAGTTAAAACTTCGCAATTTTTTCGTCCTGCATGCATTGAGTTGAAATTTTTACAGAAGGTAGGTGATAGCCCAAGGATCAAAATCTATATCGAACCGAAGTGCGGTGGAGGGTTTTAGGGGTGAAAACTACCCCTAATTGTCAAAAATTATAAAATAACATATTAAACCTGAATATGGCTAAGATTTGGTTTGAATTAGTTAAATAATGATTATTTTATACTTTTGAATCGAGTTACATCATATTTCAACCCTTAAAAAGCAACCCTTGTTAGAGATTATTGTAAACAAATTACTAATTCTAAAAAATGATTTCGCTTTGGTCGATTTGGATAAAAATTTGGATTTAAGCTCAATTCACCCACTGCTTTATAGTTTATGTCATGTCGACGAACCCTGATTGTTCTTAGGGGTGAAAACTACCCCTAGTTGTCAAAAATTATAAAATAATATATTAAACCTGAATATGGGTAAAATTTGGTTTGAATTAATTAAATAATGATAGTTTCGTGCTTTTGAATAAAGTTCCATCATATTTTCAACCCTTAAAAAGCGACCCTTGTTAGAGATTAATGTAAAAAAAAGTAGTAATGCGAAGAAAATGATTTCGCCTTGGAACGATTTGGATAAAAATTTGGAATTAAGCTCAACTCACCCTCTGCTTTATAGTTTATGTCATGCCGATGAACCCTGATTGTTCTTAGGGGTGAAAACTACCCCAATTTTCAAAAATTGTAAAATAACATTACAAATCTTAAGATGAGTGAAATTTGGTTTGGATTAGTTAAATAGTAATTTTTTTATACTTTAAAATACAATTTCATACATTTTCAACCCTTAAAAATCAATTGTTATGAGTGCTATAGGTGAAAACAATTTTTTGCCAAAATTTTGCAACTTTTCAACTTTTGAATATCACCCTTTATAACATTGCAGTTTTTATAAACTAATTTAATAGATATAAATTGAAAAAAGTAGAATTAAATACAAAAAAATTTATCAACATAAAAAGGCACCATATATTCTTATATATTTACATAAATAGTTGAAAATATTTACATTTATAACAACAACAACAACAAAGTTCATCGGGTGCAGGTTGTTTGTTCATGCGTACGGGTAATAACAAACCATCTTTGGAATACCATCCCCAATCTGTTGCTCTGATATTTTCATTGCCAAGCCATAGACATATGAGGAGATGTTTTATTCTGTTGTATGGGATTTCAAAATAAGAACGCTTAAAATTTCGAATGTATAACGCCCCACTACCTAATATACCGGTTTTGTAGATTATTATGCTCCGAAATGTATTGTACTGTACTAATGGAATTTTCCGGAAAAAAATTAATTGCTTTTGTTAACGTATTTCCTTCATTTTTAACCATAGAGTGTTTGTTCAAAAACGGTTTTGTAGAGGTTTTTAAGAGCTACAAGGATCTGTGAATTAAATATTTTTGGAACCCTTGGTTTTTAAATGGGTGAGTTTAAAGGGCTCGAAAAAGATGGTGCTTGATCGTAAATCGATGCTTTAAACGGCTATATCTCGCCAAATATTCATTGTACAACAAATCTAAATAAAGGAAAATTTTAGTCATTAAAAAAGCTACAATTTAGTACATTTTTGTTTTTTTCATATATTCAGTATTTTCGGGGATATTTAAAAAAAGAAGGGTAAAAAATATGAAATTGTAAATCGTTTCTCGCTTTATGCTGTACTTTTTCTAAAACTAAGCATTTTAAATGGGTCAAACTTCTTGGACGTATTAACAATACATGTACAAAGAGAATTGCAGAAGTGTGAAGATCGATTTTAATTATGGGGTTGGGGTTGTTTTCATCGATTTTTTCGTAAAAAAATGAGATATTGACCTTATTTTTATAACTCACTCAATTTTTGAGCTAGAGTCTTTTTTTATGATAGGTCTATTTATGCTCTTTAAAAAAATGTTCTGTGAGTTTTCTTCCAAAAATGCATTATTTTCCCGATATTTGACTTTGAATCTTTCAAATCTGGCATTTGAAGAAAAGCGCTGAACATTGATAGGCCGTATTTCGGTTCCTGTTATATCGCAAAAACATTTTAAAAAACAAATTGTATTTGTCTTTTTAAAAGCTACAAATTTGTTCTCTACAATTTTTTTGATAAAATGCACCATTTTCGAGTTATTCGCGAAAAATCGATTAAAAACGTCGATTTTTTCGTCTAAAAGTTGTTACTTTAAATCGCGAATAACTTTTTTGTTTAGAATCACGTAAAAAAACATTTTCACCCCCGAGATGGGGTGGCAACCACCCCCAAGGCTTTGGCGCACTTTGGTTCGATAGAGATTTTGATCCTTGGCTATTACCTACCTTCTGTTAAAATTTCAAGTCAATCCACGAGGGACGAAAAAATTGCTAGGTGAAATGCTTCATTTCCTGGACTATAAGTGGTTTGACAGCATAATAAAATCGTAGATTTATGTGTAGCTTTCAATTGTTATGATTTCAGAATCCAGCAGCCCGCTGAAGTATTGGATTTTTATAATATAATTATTTGACAACCTTTTGTTGGTCGACCACCTACAGCAGAATTGAGCCGAAATACATAATATTTCGTATGTTCCGAATTTATTTCGTTCAATCTGTATATACACCCCTTGCTATCCAACTTTAGACATAGGCCTCCTCTTCCTTCTTCCACGACTCCCTATTGTAGGCAATTTGTATCCACTTCGGGCCTGCGTGTTTTTCAAGTCATCTGATCATCTCATTTGTGGCCTTCCTCTTTTTCGTTTGTAATTATATGGTCTTCAGTGTATAATCATCTTATTCCATCTGTCGTCTTTCTGTCTTATGGTATGTCCAGCGAACTTCCACTTAAGTTTTGCTCTCTGTGTTGATACATCGGTCACTTTTGTTTTGTTGCGGATCCAAGTATTTCTTTTCTTGTCTGATGTTTAGTATTTGCCTTTCCATGGCTCTTTGGATCTTTGCTATGTTTCCCATGTTTTCCTTTGTAAACGACCAAGGTCGAGAACCGTAGGTGAGAACAAGAAGTATACATTGGTTGAAGACTCTTGTTTTCAAATATTGGATGTATTTTCTATTTTTTAGTATATAGGAAAGTTTTCCGAAGGATACCCAAGCCAACCGTATCCTTCTCTTTATTTCTCCGGTCTTCTTCTTCTTCTAGTTCCATGACCGTTATCGATCGTTGGATATCATGTTGGCTACCATATTCGCTATCGTGACTTCATTGACAGCAGCTCTAAATAACGATGTAGTTGATTTTCCATACCATTGCCTTAGATTTTTCAGCCATGATGTTCTTGGATCTTTCCCTGAATGATCAGATGTAAAAGATCATATTTTTCAGGGTGTCTCATAATGTGACCAAAGTATTCCAGCTTGCGTTTCTTTATTATATTGACCAGTTGTGTTGTTTGGCTCAGCCGTCTAAGGACCTCCTCATTTCTAACTCTGTCGACCCAGCTTATTTTCAGTAGTCGTCTGTATACCCACATCTCAAAGGCTGTCAAGCGTTTAAGCATAGCCTCAGTTAGAGTCCACGTTTCCACTCCATACAGCAGGACAGGAAAGATGTAGCAAGATGTCATACGAACTCTAAGGTCAATGCTAAGATCGTGACTGCAAAGTACGTTTCTCATTTTTACAAAGGCAGCTCGGGCTTGTTCTATTCGGCTTTTAATTTCTGCGGTTGGATCCCAGCTGTCATTGATATTACTGCCGAGATACACGAGTTTCTCTACTCTGTCCAGTGTGGCATCTCCGACTTTTATACCGTCATCCTGTATATAATTTTGTTTGCTAACTATCATATATTTAGTTTTCTTAACGTTGAGTTTTAATCCATACTGATCACAAGTCTGTTTTATTTTGTTCATTAGATTTTGAAGGTCTTCTCTGCAATTGGCAAGGACTAAGGTATCGTCGGCATATCTAATATTGTTGACGGTTACTCCATTCACAATAATACCTTCGGTTGTCTCCATTAAGGCTTCCTTAAATATTTCCTCCGAATATAAGTTAAAAAGTAAAGGCGACAATATACAGCCTTGTCTCACTCCTCTTTTTATATTTATTTCATCCGACAGTTCTTGTTCAACCTTTATTCTTGCCACTTCATGCCAGTATATATTTGTAATTATTTGTAGATCTTTATCGTCCAATCCAGCTGTTTCCAATATTTCTAGCATTTTGTTATGTCGGACTTTGTCAAAAGCTTTTTCAAAATCGATTGCACAAATGTACACATTTTGATTTATATCTCTGCATCTCTGTACTAGCACCTGTATACTAAACAAGGCTTCTCTTGTACCCAAGCCACTCCTAAACCCAAATTGAGTATTGCTAATTCTGTCCTCTAACAGCGTGTAAATTCTGCTGTGTATTACTCGCAGGAAGATCTTCAAAACGTGACTCATCAGACTTATTGTCCGATAATCACCGCATGTATTTGGACGATGTTTCTTAGGTATTGTGACAAATGTCGACTTTAACCAATCAGTTGGTAATATCCCAGTGTCATAAATTCTGTTAAAGAGATTACACAGAGCTTTAATTCCATTTTCTCCCAAAAACTTTAGTATTTCAGCACTTACTTCATCGGGACCAAGTGCTTTTCCATTTTTTGCCGTTTGTATTGAACGTCTTACCTCACTTTCTGTTATAGATGGACCTGATATAGCAATCGGTGTATAGTGTTCTACTCTCTCATCTTCAAATAATTCAGAAATGTAGTTTTCCCATTCTTTTAACTTTTCATTGATGTCTAATATTCTGTGTCCGTTTCTGTCTTCTAAACTTTGGAATACTTGTTTCCGTTTGTTTCCAGCGACCTCTTTTAATTTCTTGTACAGATGAAATGTATTGTGTTTCTTTTCATATTGTTCAATTTCATTACATTCTTTACTATGAAATTGTGTTTTCGCTTGTCTTATCTTCTGCCTGATTTTTGTGTGGATCCTCTTGTATTGGTTTTTATCTTTATTTCTCACTTCTCTTCTTTGATCCATAAGTCTCAGTATTTCTTCTGTCATCCACCCTTGTTTTTTTCTTGCTTTTAGCGCACTCAATTTTGTTTCTTGAACAGTCTTTAAGATGTCTTTAATTCTCGTCCAGTTTTCCTCAGTACTTTCTTCTTTGCTTGATGTTAACTTCATTTTTTGTTTTAATATACTAGTTATTTCTTGTTTTACAGTATCATTTAGCATCGTTTCTCTATCAATAGTAACTGTTTGCTTATTCGTCCTTGCAACTCTTTTTAATCTCAGTCTTATTTTTCCTACTAAAATATTGTGATCTGTTGGTACATCTGCGCCTGGATATGTTTTTACTGCTAATACTGAATTTCTGTATCTCTTATTTATACATATGAAGTCTATTTGGTTACGAACAACTCGTTCAGGTGTATCTGCTGGTGATTTCCAGGTGTAAAGACGACGTTTTGGAAGTTTGAAAATTGTGTTCGTTATTACTAATTGCTTTTCTACGCAAAAAGATGCCAACATATCTCTCTTTCATTTCGTATTCCCAGACCATATTTCCCTATGATATCTTCCTGTTCTCCTTCACCAATCTTTGCATTAAAATCTCCCATGATAATATTGAGATCGTGTTTCTTTGTAGGTGCTAATACCTTTTCTAAATCATGATAGAATTTTTCAATTTCTTCTTGTTCATAGTCTTCTGTGGGTGCATATACTTGTAATATGTTCACATTGATTGTTGTTGATTGTATTTGTATCATCAGTATCCTGTCTGAGAATAGGACGACGTTTTTTACAGCTTCATCTGTTTCCTTCGACACAATTATTGCTACGCCATTTTTGTGTTTTGAGCTGTCTTCTCCTGAATAGTATACAATGTGATCATCTACAGTCTGATCTTCTCTGGTCTGATTTTCTTTATTTAATTTAACTATCGATCTATCTATCTATAGCCCAAAATCTATTCATGTGTTGAATATAGGCCTCTCCCATTTATCTCTGTCTTCTGTTTGTCTTTTCCACATTGGACCTACGCTTTGCTCAATGTCATCTTTCCTTCTCATTTGCGGTCGACCTCTTGACCTTTTTGCAGTATATGGTCTCCAGCGGCCAATTTCTTTATTCCATCTTCCATCCTAATATATTTCGTTATGCCAAGTTCATTTCCATTTTAATGTCAATGCATGTTCGACAGCGTCTGTTGTTTCGGTTTTGCATCTTATCCACTCGTTCCTCTTTTTATCTCTCAACGATATTCACAACATTTGTCTTTCTATAGCCCTTTGAGTTTTCTTCATTCTATCTAAGTTGTTCTTGGTACACATCCACGTCTGGGCACCATATGTCAGAACAGGTAGGACGCATGCATTAAATACCTTCGTAATTTTAAAGGTATTTTTTGGTTTTTGATAGTATATGAGAGTTTTCCGAATTCCATTCTTATTCTTCTATTATTTCTTATTTAATTTAACTAGTTGTCCCAAATATACATATTCTTTTACTGGTTCTATAGTTGTTTGTGCAATTGTAATTATTAATTCTTCTGGTTGTTTGGTCATAATTTTCGTTTTATTATAATTCATTTGTAGACCTATTTTTGTTGATTCGCTATTTAATTCATCCATCATATTATGCAATTCTTCCCTTTTATCTGTTATTAATACAATGTCGTGTGCATATCTCAAGTGATTCAAGTATTGGCCATTTGTGTTAGTACCCCGTTTTTCCCATTGTAATTTACTCATAACGTCTTCCAAAGCTTGATTGAATAGTTTGGGTGATATAGTGTCACCCTGTCAGACTCCTCGCCGTATCTTAATAGGCTCCGTTTGTTCAACTATTTTAATGGATGTTGTTGATTGATCATAACCATTGGGGTACTAGTGTAATAAGCCGGAACCATGTTTACGGAGATGAAATTTATATCAATGAATTCTGCTTCACTTACTAATAATTGTGCAATGATTTTTATGCGGTGCAAGACGTTATTTTTTATGTAATTTCCATTTAAAATATGCCCGATTTTTAAAAGCCACCGCCATTATTTACCATGAAACAACAAGAAATGACAGGAATGACAACTGTTTCTTATGGTCAAAAATGGTAATTTTAACCAGTGTTGCCATAGTTATTCAAAATTATGTTTTCTAATTAATTTCAAATTGGACATTAAAATAACATTTTATTATTACCTACTTTTAACTGAAAATTATACACCCTTTTTTACAAGGGTCAGGTTAGGTTTGGTTACGTTTCTTTACGTTTATTATCATATTTTCTTATGAAAAATAAAAAAATTGATTTTTGATTATATTCCTACTTTTAACTGAAAATTATACCTTTTTTACAAGGGTCAGGTTAGGTTTGGTTACGTTTCTTTACGTTTATTATCGTATTTAAAAAATTTGATTTTTAATTATATTACAAAATTGTATTCTTATTACTGTTTTTTTAAGAGCGTTAGGTTAGGTTAGGTTGGTTTAGTTTTATTGTCATATTTTCTTATTGGGTTAGATTTGGTTTATTGGTTTGCATTTTTAATAATAAAATTAAATGTAATTTTCATTAAATTTTAAAATTTAGGTATTTTAAATGTTAAAACTGGCAACAATGTCAAATGTACATAAAATTTAACTTCTTACGCATGGCCGCCATATAAGACATGTCTATATACTTTTCTTTGCTTTTTATGTAATTTTTTTGGTTCATAATATTTTTTTTTTGTATTTTTTCTGATTTTTTTGATTATTTGGGCACTTTTAATAGTTTAAAGCAAAGAAAACATTAAAATTTGAGGTTTTTTTCACTTTTTCGCCTAAGTCCACAAAAAATTGGGCATTTTTAAGGCGTTCCGGCTTACTAAATAATTACCTATATTGGAAATTAAGTCCGTATATCTATAGTCTATTCTCCCATTTTGTAAAGAGTTCTTGACTGCCCAATGTTCCACCTTATCGAATGCTTTTTCAAAGTCTGCAAATGCCAAATTATCGTAAGCATATGGTCGCTTGTACTGAATCCTTTTCTAAAACCGGCTTGCTCTCTCGACTAAATGTGTTAGAAGAAATAATTGGAAATAAGATCTGACCCGATTTATCAACCAATTATAATCAGGGTAGCGTGTAACAAATTAGCATTACAGATAAAGTTAGTAGCAACACATATTATGTGTGTAGTATATCACAGGGGGGTGTTCTATAAAGCCTAAACTTTCCACTCAGGTTTTGTTTTTATTGATGCAAAAAACAAAAAACGAAGGTACGCTTCAATTTTTATTTTTTTGGGAACATTCATTATTCTCAAAAACTAATTTAACCGATCTGGCCCTTCTTTTGCACAGTATTCAAATACGATAAGACCCTTAGGTTCAGGTACATTTAAACCAATTTTAATAAATAATAAAAAAGTCATTAACAATATTCAAAAACAGCGTGTTTGTTGTTCATTTTACAGTAATTTTTTTGTTTATTAACCGAAATTAATTTAGTATATCTCTTTTTGTGTATCTTTTTTTTTCTGAAAAAGTTGTCTGTTAAAAATATGCCAGTTATTATCGAATCGAGAATCCCATTTTTAGTTATTAATTTTTGTTATCGCCATAACATGATTAATCATCAGCAATTGTGATCCATCTCTTTCATTATTACTGAGACTAAGCTTATTTCCTAGTTAGAAATCGAAACGTAAAAAAATTTTAATCAAAATTGTGGTGTATTCCCATTGAATAAAGTAGTTAATGTAATTTTTTATTTTTAGTTACATGCAGCTGCCTGTGTGTTAAAGGCAGTATGTACAGCGGATGCTGCTCGAGGCATTGAAACACTCAGACTTTCATGTGGAGGGCATGGATACATGACATCTTCAAATTTACCTTCGACTTATGGATTAGTTACGGCGATGTGTACTTATGAAGGCGAAAACACAGTACTTCTCCTGCAAACTGCTAGATTCCTCATAAAATGCTGGCAAAATCCTCAAAGCCTGCAATCGTTACCTAGTTGCAAGTATTTGGTACATGCTCTAAACAATAAATTGCCTTTCCAGAAGTCAGTAGATTGGATTATTAGTGCTTTGCAGAAAACTGCAGCAGGGTAAGTCCTACTTGACTACTTAAATGATATTAATAAAAGCTTATTATTTTTTTTGGTTATTAGTAAAATAGAGTTAGCAAATCGACGCATCAACGAAAGGGTCAACAAAGGAATGGCTTACGAAGATGCATGGAATAATACATCGATCGAATTGGTTCAAGCTGCGGAGTTACATGGACGAACTCTTATTGTAGAAATATATTTAGCGACAATTCAGAAGTTACAACAAAAAATTTCAACAGAGCTTAATACAGTTTTGAATCAGCTACTTCAACTATATGCAGTTGACACAATCTTGAGATGTAGTGGCGACATTCTAAAGGTAAATTTTCCAAAACTAGTTATTTATCAGCTATCAAATATTTAACGATTCTCTGTTACGATATTATGTCACGTTGAAATCTAGTTATCTCATCTACTTCACGTTGCCTTGGTGTAACTTTGCTTCTATTTAATAGGTAGTACGTTAAGTTTTGGATTAGATATTGCACACTACATGCAGCGCTAAAATCGGCAAATTTAAAACTAAACCTAGACAGAATAAAACAAGTAAAAAACACTATACATCTAAATTAAATTTTAAGACAACTTTTGCAGACTAGAAATTTGTTTCAAAAGCAACTTCTATTTTAGGCGAGCGGTTTACCCCCTATAAGCAGAGCATCAACCGACTAAAATCCTTTTTGCATTTCTAATGCACCAAACCTTTTTTATTCGATTCTATATATTTTTCCAAGATGAAATGTCATGCATGCATGCATACAGCTTTTCATAAAACAACTGCATACATACATCCACATCCAAGTATCCCTCCAGCTCTCTCCGGTCCATATCTTGAATGAGGACATATAAAAGATTAAAATCACCGTTTGCATAGTCATAGAACAATGAATTTTTAATATAATTCTCGGTTGAATCTAAAAAATTAAATGTGACCATAAAATCAAGACAAGGATTATATATGTCCTCATTAACAAGTGGTACATCGCATTTAATTAAATTGTTGACATTCATGTTTGAAAATACTAAATCCAACCTTCTTTGCATGTAATTATACACTGAGTTGTGTTGGGTAAGATTATGAATATCAATACAATTTGTTAACAAATCACATTTTGCACAGCCCGTATTACCATAAAAAGGCAAATTAAAATCACCTAACAACAGAAAATTAACATTAACCCATTAATGCCTGAATTATTTTTTTTAAGTTACAGTAGTAAATTTTAGATAAACACATGAGACACGTATTCTAAGCAATTTATAACTTAAACAAGCTCATTTGTTTAAATATTTTTTGAGTTAGAGGCCGTGCTTTATATGGAACGCTAGGATTTTAAGGTATGTTTAAATAACATTTTTTTTTTCGAAAATTTATTAAAAAAGAAAATTAAACGTAAGAAAACTAAACTTTTAAACAATAGACAAATAAATATTAAACTATTTTTTTCTATGAAAGGAAGCAAAACAAGTAATGCATAACCCAATATCACATTTTTGGCACTGCGTTCGTATGGCACTGCCTACATGATTAGTCCCTGCACAACGTCTTCGTTTGGAATTGGGCACGTATTCAATGTAATGATCAAAACGATCATACTGAATATTTTCGTGAACTCTAGAGATCCCAGCAGATGTTGAAGGACGACCGGCTCCTTTAGGTGGATTTTTGTATTTTGATAAGTAGCATTGAACTTTTTCCCTTCTAAACTGAAGTTGGCAAATTTTGTTCCCAGTACTTCTGGCTAAAACCCACGCGTTCTGAATGCTGACATCCAATAACCATGTGAAGATGGAAAACCACCATTTTTTCCTCTAATTCCAATCCGATACACATTGACATTAGCATCCATCTGATCAGTGCCTCCCATGTAGTTGTTATATTGGGTTATAGCGTCAGGTCGTGGAATTGCTATTTTTTTCTTTTGAGAAGCACAATATCTGTTAGCTGAGGTTAGAGGAAATACCCCATGAACATTAGATGCCACAGTGACAACGGAATTGTCTTTCCATCGTACAATGGCAATCGAGTCATTTTTTGATACGCTGTAGTCGTATGTTCCCTTATCCATCTTCTTCTTCATTTCTTTTACCGATTTCGAAGGGCAAGTCTTAGAAACGCGATTTTCTCTAATTGTTCCAGTTCCACCGTAATTATGTTCTGTCATGTATGCAAGCAAATTCATAGAAGTAAACAAATTATCGAAATAAAATCTAAACGGTAGCTCTCTGACTTCAATATCTAGATCATTTATAAGTGATATGAGAGGTGCTGTTGCTTTACCATACCGTTTTTGATCATCCGCATTGGCATTTGAAGTGGATCCTTGGTACACTTCAAAATTCATCAAATATCCTTTTTTAGTGTTGAGAGACCAAACTTTGTACCCAAAACGTATTGGTTTGCCACGGATATATTGTTTGCATCCGTGGCGACCAAAATATTCAATCATTGACTCATCATAGTCAATTTCTCTTTCGGGTACAAAATATTTTATAAATTTGTCTTTTAATAAATTCATCAAAGGTCTAAGTTTACACATTTTGTCATCTTTATGTAGGTTTGTATTGTCACTGCAGTGCAAGAATCTCATAATTTGATCAAAACGGTCACGTCTCATAGCTTGATAGACCATATTATTTCTTACATCCTCACCTGAATCCCAAAACATTCTTCTAGAAGGAAGATCACAATATCCAGAAACAATGAGTATACCAAGAAAACATCTCATTTCGCCCAAGGTAATCTTTGGATTCGGACAATTTATGAATAACGCATATTTATTACTTTCGTTCACTAAATATTCTATAACTTCATCATCAAAAAATTGTTCAAAAATATCAACAGCAGTTTTATCTCGATATTGTGTATAATTCTGTTCTGGAAAATTGTTGTTTCTCAGGGTACATGCCAAATCTGTATCTTTTGCCCAATTATATACTATATTTTCTTTATTCTGTTTAGTGTGAGAAGTAGTTGGTAAATTTTCTTCATGCTGTTTATAACTTATCCTTCTACCGCTTACGGAAACAGCTTCGGCTTGTGCTTGTAACTGATGACTTGACAAATTGTCTAACAAACCTCCAGAGTCTTCATCAGCTGAATCTTCATCTGACACATTGTGTTCGTCCGGTGGGGCTATATATATTTTAGAAACATCATCGTCTTCCCACCATTCGTCAGATTTAATGATGTCCGTAAGTTCTTTAAGAGTCAAACTAAAAAAAAAACAGACCCGTTTAGCCTAGTGTCATATATGGTACGCTAATAAACAAAGGCTTATAAAATAATTACAAAATATAATTGAACTAAACTGCAGTTATCCTACCATTCTTTATACCTCATTTGATACTCATAATGAAAATAAAACGTTAGTATTGAAAAATATAGAAATTATTTACTTACGGTCGAGAACTGGCCATATTTATTCTTACAATTTTTTCAACACTTTTTAGGTTATTAAACTGTACATAAACCTTTCACAAAATATGAAATCAGTGTACACCATCAGTTTGGCAACATAAAATACTAATGTGTAATGGTGGTTGCAAACATCTAAACCTTTCAGAGAATGTAAAATAAATTTTTAAATACCGTAAAATTTTCTGTATCTTATATGGCACGCTAGGTAATAATGGGTTAACATAAACTCGATAAAAATACACTGATCTTTATAAGAGGGTGCATTTATATCGTTTTTTAATAATGTAAACAATTTTTTGTGGTTGAATTAAAAATAAAGCGCATTTCTTTAAAAAATATAAAACAAAACATATACTCTTATTGAAAATAAAAAATAATTCCTAATAGAATAAAAAATAATTCTTTGTGCCCTACAGAAATCATTCAAATATTTAACCTTCTACGGCTGAACAGTATGCAAATCTGCCATAAAAACTTCTGTGGACGGATACTAAAGTTTCGCCTGTAACAGAATTGGAGACTTCTCTTATTCGATTTTTTAATTCATCCAAATTTTGGGCTCTAGCCTCGGGATGATCGTAGATGTCTCCAAAAAAAATTCCACGAGTGTAAAATCGGGAGATCGCGCAGGCCACTTAATATCGCCTGTTCCACTGATAACTCGATTCGGGAAAGTATAAGAAAGTCGACGGCGCGCAGTGCTGCCATTCCTAGTGTGTATATCTAATTTAAAACTTACTGTATTATCTAGGTTTACGTGCAAGAATAATAGTAAACTTAATTATGTTAACTCACATTTCATTCTATTAAAACTGTTCGTATCCTCAACATCGTAACCTTGAACAAGGAACCCTCACAGTAAACTAACAACCGGAGACAGCTAAATCTAAGTTCTATATCGAGGTGTTACTCTTCTCTTTAACTTAGTTTGAGACCAGTAGTATGATTTGTAGAACAATTTAATTCACCCCACCACAAATGTAGGCAGAATTAGTAATAGCAAGAACTTTGTTTTATAGTGAAATTTTTATTTGGCAATAAATATACTAATTTTCATATCTGTTTTTCCAGTTCACCGAGCTACAAGGAAAAGACATAGAAGCTCTGCAAACCTGGCTAGAAGAATTGCTAACCCTCATAAGACCAAATGCCGTCGGTATCGTAGACAGTTTCGACTTTAGGGATGAAGTTTTAGCATCAGCTTTAGGGTCATATGATGGTAATGTTTACGAGAGGTTACTCGAGGAGGCTCAAAAGAGTCCACTTAATGCTGAACCGGTCAACAAATCTTTCAAGGAATACTTGAAACCGTTCATGAAAGCACAACTTTAATTTAGCTTGATCTAGATTAAAAAAAAAATTAGACAGACTTTGGACCAGTTTCACAAACGTGCATTAATTGTACACACTACTGATAAATCGTTAACTTTAAAGACTACTTAGCTATTTTTAATATATTGATTTCAACCAGTCAAGTAACGGTTTGTACATTTTTCGGGATATTTACAAATTATACCATACACAGTATTCAAGATTAAATAAAAAGTCAATTCTTTTACATTTAATTGACTTTTTTATCAAAACAATCGAAATAATATCTTTAACTTTGGTTAGTGTCAAATTAATGATTGGTGTAACTGGTCACAAAGTTTCTATACAATTTTGTTATATATACAGGGACCAATTTGCTATTTTAAAACTTTTGGTAGTTCATTCGTTAATACCATTGTGATTTTTTTATACCGTCCTAGTTTGAGAATTATTTTTTGGTGAAAGTAGGTATTTTAGATTATTTTATGACTTTTAGCTTTTTGGTTTTTCTAGAATTGTAATTTGAAGATAAACCAATTTAACCCTTAATTGGTCCGCCTACCCGACAGTCTACCATTTTACAGACTAAAACATGGCAAGAAGAAATGTAAAGTAAATAAAGAAATCCGTAAAGTGTGGGTTCTTCGGCTCATTTTCTTAGGTTATAAAGACTAGAACAGCTTGTGTAGATGTACTCAATATATACATAACTGTTTCACGCATCAATGAATTTTCAGTCCCATTTTGTTTATTTGGCATGTATGTTTTAAATGGTCACTTTCTACGGAAGCTCATAAGCATTTTATCCGCAGTAACACATTGTTCAAGACCATAAGCAATTTGACAATTTGCTATAAAACTCTTAAAAATGCAGTGCTGCAGCTGGATCGTCTTTTTGTGCATTGCAAATCTATAATGGATGAATACAGTAGGTATTTTTATCACAATGTTGTGTTTCGAAAAATAATGCTTTCAGACTCAAACTCTGAACCCCTAGCATGGTCTGACTAAATATTAAAACTTTCCGGTCCGTTATTACTATCACTAGAACAATCTTCATTGCACAATTTTAAAAGAGTTTCTTCAAAATTACTGTTGTAACATCCTCGCATATAATGTTAATGGATGCTTAATCTCTTGCGAGCCGAGGCAAGGCTTACTGGTCCAACTAGTCTGAACGGACATGATTCCGCCCTCGCGGATTTACTGGAGGGTAGGGAAAATTTGGATAAGGGGATGAAGGACATCCAGATGCAGACCCTGTAAAGAGTTAGAGTCTATTGGCTTGCTTAGAAGCCGGAGAAATGCACAAGGCGAAAAGTGTGTTCTCTTCTAGTCTCTACCTGTAAACGACCGGGAAAGAACAAAAAAAACCAAATTTCAAACTCACAATATATATAAATTGTAAAACTACAACTAAGACAACAAGATATGCGATATAGCTAGTTATTGTTTTATCAAAAATGGCGAAGGAAGATGACAACAGACTTTATAAAGGAATATAAAGGGTGGACAATCTACGATTATTTGTATTCCCCCCTAGGTGGCCTAGCTAAAGAATACGCCTTTGTAGTCCAAACTGGAACTCAGAAACAGTCTTGATGAACGCTGAGAGTACTGTACGCTATCACGATTTTCCGAGAGACGAAAAATTCGGTACTTATACATACTGTAATACCGCGCTAACTGAGCTGAACACACCCTGACGGCGGACCGACTAACACTCACTGGCCTCCTTGACCAATTTTTTTGGTTTTTATGTCCCGCAAGTGCGTATCCTCAATTACTCCGTCATAGTACCGAAGTACAGGGTCGCGCCTTACTGCCTTTCGCCTAGAGTTTTTGCTGATTGTGCCGTCTGCTCATGATGGTGTAACCTACTAGCTCAGCTCAATTCCTATCGTTTATATGTCGCTCCGTTGTATTATTTTCCAACGAAGGTCTATGGTTTCGTAATTTTTAAACATTCGGAGGTGACCTGATACCGAAAACTTGTGTAATAATGTTAAGCTATGTCGAATTTTATTCTTTATTTAATTTGGAATATATAATAATAATTATTATTCTTTTCTAGGCTAACTACCCCTTATTTTTTCTTTTATTTTCTTGCTATGTTGACTTGTTACATACCGGGACTAACTGGTGAGCGATTGCGCTTGGGGGGGGGTTGCTGTTTCCCTTGGGTATGGGGCTGATACATTACACTGTCACCCAAACAATTTTTTTAATGGACCAGCCAGATCTTAAATCACCACACTCTTGTATATCTTTCGTTTCACCACCTCCCAGATTTGTCGAGCACAGCGTTATAACAACCAGCCTATATTCTGTGATCTAGCGTCCAATTTTCCGTTATGTAGGGGTCAAAATATTTAAATTCTCCTACTTTTTAGTTTTTCCCCAAGCAGTTCGATCTCCTCAATTATTCCTATTCCGCCCAACCACATATACTTCAATAACCCTTCTCTAACGCTTTAACTTCTCCAATATTTCTTTGCTCACTTCTACTATCACGATATTATCCGCCAAAAACATTGACCAAGGAGCCCCTCCGTTACCTTCGTTGTCAGCACATCCATAGTAAGATTAACAAGTGGACTGAGAGTCGACTTCTAAAATATTCAGCACATGTCTTAAACCATCGTTGTCAATCATAAAGTGTTATCACCGTCTTATCATGATTCACTAGAAGATGGAATAGGTAGAAAAAGAAGTTTTGTTGACCGAAAAATATAATTTATTTATGGAAGCGTAAACTATGCCACGACGCCGGACCAGTTAAGGGTTAAATGTAATAGAGTATTTACATTTGTCTCTCTAGTGTTTCTATGCCAATTTTCCTAAAATTAACACAAAATACAGCATGAGAACACGGTATATGTGATAATTTATATGTTTGATTGCGAATAAAAAGCCGGTTATTGGCGAAGGACAATACAATAATTGAAGGACTTTCAATTAGAAACCTTCTCAAATAATTGAAACAACCTAACTCATTTATTCTTCAAATTTCTACCATTTATGTATATCTGCTTCAGTATACAACTGTATCAAACTCAAAAATGTTTTACTAATTGTATTTTTTTCACAAATTCCCTTAAAAGTACAAAAGTGATATTGAAAAATATTTGTATAAGTATGAGATATCACACTATGATATAACTAATATAAAACTTGTGGGATTATTCAAATTTTAAATGTAGGAAGTAACAAACACTTTATTCTTGAAACTCGATATCCCAGCAAAGCTAATCAGATTTAAAAAATTACTATGGATGGATCTCGAGCTAGCATAACAACTGAAGAAGGTAGCACAAACACAATTGAAATATAAACAGGATTGCGACAAGGTCAACCAAACTATTCAATGTAGCAGTAGAACGAAAAATCAGCGGAATTAAAGGAACTACACAAATAGTAGCTTATGGAGATGACAAAGGAAGTGATAAGGAAATATTAAAACAAGCATTAACAGTCCTGGCAAATGAAGCACGGAAAAGAAGTCTAACGAAGGACAAACAAAACATCTAATCTTCTCTAGGAGAGAAGACAAGACGAGAGAAATCAAGACAGAAAACTACACTTTTGAAAGATTACTGAAATTTAAATACTTAAGAGCAACTGTGAATGACAAAAATAATGAGAGAAGTGAAGTAATGGATCAAATACTAACAGGTAACAAAACATACTGAAGATTCCGTACTCTTATGAAGGACAAGAACTTATCCAGAACTACAAAAGTGAAAATATACATAGTTACAATCAGACCAGTAGTTACAAACGTAATTTAGACAATGTGCCTTATATATAAAGATAAAGAATGTTTAAGAATATTCGAAAAGAAAAACGCCAGAAAAATGATGGGATAAGAATGGAAAAAGGAGAAATGAGAAGAAGAATGAACCATGAAATAAGAGACATAGAGAAGGGAAAAGACATACTTAGATTTATCTAGAGATTGAGGTGGTTAGCACATATAGAGAGAAGGAAAACGACCTACTTTTTAAGAAGTCACCAAATGGAAGCTTAATTCACGACGACCTAGCAAACGACAATGGAATAACGATTTACGGATATGCAGATGGAATGTACGAACCCTTACGCCCCAGGTGCTCTTAGACTGCTAACACAAGAACTTGATAAAATAAAAGCCGATGTAGTAGCGATTCAAGAGATAAGATGGATTGGTTCAGGAATTATCGAGAAAAGAGACTACAATATATACTATAGCGGACATAGCACCCGACACGAGTTTGGCAGTGGTTTTCTAGTCAGTAAAAAAGCAAAAGCAATTAGTCCTTAACTTTAAACCCATAAACAACAGAATATGTTATCTACGTTTTAAAGGAAAATTCTTTAATTATAGCTTACTTAGTGTACACGCACCTACGGAAGAAAAGGAGGATAATGAAAAAGATGGATTCTATGACACCTTAGACAAAGAATATGATCGATGTCCACGTCATGACTGTGAAATCATTGCTGGGGACCTTAATGCAAAAATTGGCAAAGAGCAATTTTTCCAGCCAACTATAGGACGTGAGTGCTTACATGAAGAGTCAAATGATAACAAGTTGAGACTAATAAACTTTGCAAGTACTAAAAACATGATAGTAGGAGGAACAAGATTTCCCCATAAAATGTTACACAAAGGAACGTGGAAATCCCCTGATAACGAAACCATTAACCAGATAGATCACATCCTGATAGATGCAAGACACTATTCCGATCTCATAGACTTCAGAAGCTACCGAGGCCCAAACATTGACAGTGACCACTTTCTTGTAATGGCAAAAATCAGAGGAAGAATATCAAACCTAAAGAAAGGTAAACACACGAAACAAGACAGAATTAATTGTTGATAATCTGCGCATTGAAACCGTTGCGAGAGAGTATAGGCGACAAATGGACGAGGAAATGGAGAGCCTGGAGGTGGGGGAAAATGTAGAGGAACTGTGGACAAAATGTTAAAAAACATAATAACTGAGAAAGCCAACAAAAATATTGGGGAAAACCAAACCAGTTAAGAAAACGAATGGTTTGACAAGCAGTGCCAAGAAGCAACAGATAACAAAAACAGGGCATTCCTAAAGACAAATCAAGTGGATGCACAAGAAGAGCAAAGGAAGAATACCGGACCCTAAGAAGAGAAGAAAAAACGATTACATAGAAGAAAAAAAAAAGGCAATTTGAGCAAAAGCAGTTGGAAAGCACAGAATGGCTAAGAAATCAAAATGAAACTCGAAAGTTCTACAGAAATCTAAACAAAAAGCGCAAAGAGTTTAAGCCAAGAATAAGAAGCTGTAAGGATGTAGTAGGAAACATCCTAAATGATACAGCCTCAATCCTAAACATATGGGTTGAATTTTCGATGCAAAATTTAATGGCCATCATATCGAAGAAGCAGATAACACCCTAGCAAATCGAAATGATTGGAATCCTTTTAACCCAAATGCCAGAAAATACGATTGCTAAAAAGCTAACCACAGGAACACCTGTAGGAAGAAGAAGCAAAAGCCGACCACGAATTAGGTGGTTAGATGGAGTTGAAACAGACTTCACGGATATTAAAAATCAGAAGATGGCAACATGTTGCCAGAAACCGAACAGAATGGCGACGAATCTTAGAGCAGGCCAAGATCCACAGAGGATTGTCGAGCCAAAGATGATGATGATGAAATGGAAGCTAGAAACTGAAAGACCAAGGGGAAGACGTAGAGAGAGATGGAAGGACCAGGTTATGAGAAGGTGAGGAAATTATGAACAGATAGAAATAAGTGGAACAAAATTGTAACGAAAGCTAAGTTATACAACAAACTTTGATATTACATAAGAATAATGCGATGTGATTCACCTCAATAAGCGTATTAAAGAGTTCTAAGTAAGAGAGGTAAACACTCCTTCAGGAATGAAAGACCTTGATGATGTTGATAATGATATCTCATACTCATACTATTAATTTTAAATAATAAATATTTGTTGTCTTTATTGGTTTACATCCTTAAAGGAGACATTTTTGAACTAAGGTAATTAGTCTAAATTGTACAATTTAAAATGCAACAACTTACAAGCTTTATTTTTTTCATACGTTTTGGCAACTGTATGAGTGCTTTTTTTCTGTCACTGTCGTTGCTATTGCCATTTTTTATTAAATTTATCGTCTCATAACTATAGTATAATTGTTTTTCGAAGAATAAATTCAAAAACTACTACTAGTAGGTCTAATATATAACAGTTAGCTGTAGAATTTTTTATTAGGAGAGATTTTCAAAAGATTACACAGTTTAAATTCTAATATTAAGCTTTTTCGCAACTCTTTCATAACTAAAATATAACTGTGAAGTTATAATTTTAATATTGGAGAGCCAGAGAAGCAACAACTTTAAAAATAACACAGACCGACAAAATTTGACCAACATTTCGAGCCAAAGAATAGTGACCTAACCTAAAAGTGCAAAATAGTTGTTTTATCTGTTTTGTTGAGGTTATGTAGCATCGTAGTATAATTTTTCTCCAAGAAACTGTTATAACCACCTTAAAATGTAGGTTTCAATCATTTGAGTGACGTTAAGATTGCTCAGATATATTATTTTTTTCGCTGAGATGTCGCTTTTTAAAATTTTCTTAGTTTTAAAAATCCTACAAACTATATGATTATATAGTATACTGGAAAAACTAGACTCAGAAATTCGAAACTCATAAAATCTTTTTCCAACAACCTCAAATCAAATAACTCCAAATTCAAAAATCTCAAACCTATACACCCCAAACCCAACCATCCTTTTTAATCCAGAAGCAGAAAAACCCACCTAACCGTAGAATCCATAAGATAATTGCTAATATTTTTTGTGGTACATCTTGAACAGCAAGCCAGTTTATTCGTCACCCTTCAACCAACCAACCACTAGAAACTGCATTTTTAGTCCACAAGCAGGCAAATCGACCTAACCCTCGGGACTAACTGCTTTTTTTTGTTATATCCATCCCTTTTAATCCACAAGCAGGAAAGTCCACCTAACCCTGTAATTTGAAATATTACTACAAAATTATCCCTAGAAATGCCTCTTAACTACAAGCAGGCATACTTGCTCTACCAAAAACCGCTATTTTTGCATTTTTTTTATGTTAGGATATCTCAAAAACTAGAGCAAATTCGGCAATTTGGAACTATTTAGCGCATCAGAAACATTCGAAAAAGTATACTCTGTTTTCTGGGTCTCCAGCTTGTCGGCCTCTGTAATTAACTTCGCCTAATAACCAATTTGCCACTTCGTAGTGTACTCCTGTATAATAATAAATTTTGAGATTTTTAATAAAAAAATTTCAATTTTTAGATTAATGTTTGTACAATTTTATATTTAAAATAAGATTTTGTGCGATATTACCCCGAGTAAATTTCTTATTGTAAACACTGCATAAGAAAAAGTTAGATTTAATTTATTACAATTTTATGCGATCGTACAAATACTAATATTTAACTATATAATGTTTTATATAAGCTGTCTCCCTTGTAAATTAAAAAAAATGTAGAGGTATGCTGGCATAATGTATTCGGGTATAATGTGAAGACATTATTTCCTTTAAAGTTCATTACACGTCATAAATGACGTTTCTACGTTGTCAAAATACAGTATAGCCCAAAATAAACAGTACTGAACTTGTAATTATTTATTGTTTTAAAAAATACATATTATTGACATTTTATAACATGTTCTAAATGAGCTCCTTTTCTCTCA